ACACCTGTAAATGTGCACATTAGGGAACAAGTGTAAGTCTTTGCAACACACACAGGCTGCCACTTGAGGCGCCATTTAAAATGTTGTGTATAAAATTACAAACACCACACACAATCCTAAACAGTGTTTTTCTCTCACTTTCATAAATATAAACCAAGTACAAATAAATATTGGAGCTGGTTCACCCTGATTGACATCTGCGATCATGAGATTAAATTAAATTCCGGAATTTGTGATGTCAAAACGGGGTCACAAGCCAAGGTTGGAACCATTGCTTTAAAATAAGACCAGTAGACTTGCTTTGTCAGATATTGTCAGAAATATTAAATCTAAATCAATAGACATTTCTATGGAAACATTGCACTCAAACACAAATACTGAACATATTTGACCAACACTTCAGATTTAAAAAACGATGACCTGCTTGTTTTCTTCTTGCCTTTTACTGTCTCTGCGGCTCGTGCTCAGGTTTAACTTTGGGAACCTGGGTTTCTGGTTTCCCTGGTCTGTGGTTCTGCTGGTTGTCACTGCAGCTTTCTTCACCTACATCTCTGTTCTGATGGTAAGACCAGGAGTATGAGACACATGGTTTTACATTTCCACACAGCAGCTCTGGTCTGAGGTCCCTGGAGGAAAATCAATTCTAGAACTTTTAGTGAATTATTGACATTTTAAAATGATCAGTTAAAGCAGATAATTTAATAAAGTTAATGTTTTATTATTATGTTCTGATATTGAAACATTTTCATATAATTTGTCCTACGTTTAATTAAACCCTGGTGCTGTCAAGAATTCAAGGCTCCATATGGTCAGACACAAAATACATTTTCTGACCTTTGTTCTGTTTTTTTTGAGCAGTTGTTGGCTCTGTGCTTACTGTCAGAAGGCCAGGAACTGTATTTGCACTGGGGTCACAAGGTAACTGGTTTTCTTTTTTAAATGACGACATCTCTGTGTCTGTGTTTTGCTCCCTGATTGGATTAGGTGTTTAATAATTTACTTTTATTCTTCTTTGGTTGTTGTTGAACCATGTGCAACATTATATGAGTTCTTGGAGCAGTCAACACGTCAGCTCACTGATAAATCAACGTATTAACTGGAAGCTTGAATATATACAGTATATGTCCAAAGTTCATAGAATGAAGTTTAACATGTAGTAAAACTTAAAAATACTGCATTTGCTGCTTCCTTTTCAGTAATTACTCTGTGTGTGTAAGTACGATTTACACTATAAATACATGTAGTTTTGTAAAAACAGATGTGGATTTATATATATATATATATATACATATATCAGTGATTCCCAAAGTGGGGCCCTGCGCAAGACAAATTTGTTTTAATTTTAACATTTTACTTTTGTTCAGTGTAAATGCACTGATTTGTATTTATTTTATTTTACTGGTCCAAAACTCACAGGACCAGGTCGACCGTTCACTCTAATTGACCATAGGTGTGAATGTTAGTGTGTGTATTTCTTGTCTTTTTTTCCTCTCCTTAACTCACGTCTCCCTTGTCGTCTGTCTCAGGTGGGGGTCCTGGTGACCCTGACCTTCTCCATCGTGGCCACTGCCGTCCTCACTGACCTGTGGGGTGAGGAGTGGGAGACGCTGCTGCTGTCCTTTCAGGTGACACTGGTCAGCTCTGAAGTCTTCTTCTCTGGGTTTTTATTTTTCTGTGATACTTAAAGACTTTTCACGTCTCCATCAGATAACTGCGCCTTATTTACATGTGGGTGGAGTCCTGCTGATGACAGTGCTGGCCTGGCCAATAGCTTTACATTTCTGTCGCCTAAAGGGCAAAGGTGGGGTTTTTTTAAATTGTTGTCTTTACTGTTTATCACTAATGACTGACATTGTTTAAGGACTAATATTATTGCATTAATAATATTACGATAATCATAAAAATAATAAAAACATTTGTACTTTTGTGGTAAATTGTAGTGTAGAAAAGCTTTTGATTCCCTGCCCTGATGTAAGTGTGGATCAGTGACTGAACCCAGGTCTCTGTGTGTCAGTCAGACGTGGTCTGATGGTCGGCTTCTACCTGATCTTCCTCCTCATCCTCTACCTCCTTCCTCTGGGTTTATATTCTCCATGTATCAAAGACAAGCGGACCCTCGGCCCAGCGCCGGCTCTGATTGGACACAGAGGAGCCCCCATGGTCAGTACCGTTGTGGAATATTTTCCAATTTTTACTTGTATCTTAAAAATTAAAAGACTTACAAGGTTGAAAAACCTAAATAATAATAAAACAGTAAAAACTTTACTTTGACTTTGAGGCCAAGAGGAGGTGAATAAAGGTGTTATTACACATTTTTCCGTTATGTTTAAGCAACAGGCCTTAATTTTTAATTTAAGATTCATTATAATATTTCTTGAAAAAGAAAAGCTGGTAGTATTTACTAGAAAGAACTAAAATCAGAGACAACCAAATAATTTAAACTCTTTAAACTCTAAAAATCTAAAAATTTGACATTTAAAATGGGTAAATATATCCCAATATATAAAAATATATTTGTCACCACAGAAATACAATCATCAGAGTATGGGAGAATGATCATGTTCTCCAACAAGACAACAGTGTGAGGTACAAACCAGGTCCACTGCTTGTAGACAAATATATAACAGGAAGCGAGGTCACTTCTGGTTTAGATAAGACTGCTGTAAACACTTCAAAAACAAAGCTGAGTCAAAGAGAAAGTTCTGCACATGCTCAGTTGTCACTTCTACAAATGAACCACTTCACTTTCTGCTCAGCTGGCGCCGGAAAACACACTGATGTCATTTGAGAAGGCGGTGGAAGCAGGAAGTGAAGGTCTGGAGACAGACGTCACCATCAGGTCAGAGCAAAATATTTATGTTTGTTTGGCCTTTAAAATATATCTCTAGGTACTTTTTGAGCACTTCTAATAAATTGTTACCCTAGTATTTTACTAGAAGGTGATGGTAATTCAGCAAAATAATATTTGTTTTAAATCCCTAAACAACAACAACAGAGAATTGTAACCATTGTTGATAATCTATGTGCATTATTTGTTACAGAACAAGCTAACTCGCTATTGTTTTGACTAATTTTATGATTACTATTATATACGGGGGGGAGGTTAGGTTTTAAAGTTTTTAAAGAATTATTAAAGTTGACGTCAGTTGTGCTGCAGTTTTGACGGCGTCCCCTTCCTGATGCACGACCGCACACTCAGACGCACCACCGACGTCCGTGAGGTTTTCCCAAACAGAACTAAGACGTCGGCCGCCATGTTCACGTGGGCGGAGCTACAGAGGTTGAACGCTGGAGGCTGGTTCCTTTCAGTGAGTCAAACACGTTTATCAGTTAAAGAGGTGGTTTATAGTATTTTAATAGGTTCTTGGTAAAAAAACATTTTTTTAACTCATTTATTGATTGGCTGATTGACACTGTGGCGATGTGTTGATCAAAGACCTCTGACATCACACATCAGTCCCCACGTCAGGTCACTGAGTTAATTAGTTATCGATGTCTCTTGCGGTCCAGGACAATCCATTTGGTAGTGTTGGCTCTCTGGGAGCAGAGGAGCGACAGAGGGCGGCCAACCAGTCTGTATGCAGCCTTCTGGACTTCCTCCAGCTGGCAGCCCGTACTCACAAGCTGGTGATCTTTGACCTCTACCGTCCGCCCAGAGGTCACCCGTACAGCATGTCCTGGATCCAGCGAACACTGGAGGTCATTCAGAACGAGTCGTCCATCCTGTCCTCACAGGTGAGACACAGCACAGGTGATGTTTGAGCAGCAAGTCAAAGAGATGTGACCAACTCTTATCGTTTTATATATTACTTATATGTTATTATTATTATATATAGTAAAAATATGTGAATGTAAAAACCTCACTTGGCATCGCAATGTGTCTGTGTGTGTGTGTGTTGTTTTCTGACCAGGTTCTGTGGCTGCCTTCAGATCTCAGGTCTCTGGTCCAGGAAACTGACCCAGAGTTGCAGCAGACGTCAGGGAGCCGGCTCCCTCTGGAGGTGCTCCAGAGAAACCACATCGTCAAAGTGAACCTGCGATACTCTGACGTGTCAGCTCGACTCGTCAGGTCTGTGCATTTTCTAGGTTGTGTCATTCCTAAAACTCACACTTGGCTAATTTTCACGTCATTGCGTTTAGCGAGTACTCGTCCGTGAACATCAGCACCAACCTGTACGTCATCAGTCAGCCGTGGCTCTACTCCCTGGCCTGGTGCTGCGGCGTCCACTCCGTCACCACCAACAACCCACAGCTGCTCAGCACCATCAGCTGCGCGCTCGTCCTCTGGGTCCGCCTGTGGAGCTGAGAAAAAGAGTGGACAGCGCCCCCTGCGCTGTAGACTGTAGTCGCGGCGTGAATTCACCTTTATTCGCAGCAGTGATATTGTTGTACACAGACCCATGTACATTTCTCTGGAGTGATACTGCAGTATTTGTCCTGTGATCCTGTGTTGTTTGTTATGATCATCATCATACAGTAGGGACAGAAAAAGAGAAAACAGGAAGTTGAACATCATAGCTTCACTGTGTAGGACTGACAGCATGATCGCCTGTAAGTCACCTGACCATGTGACATCATCAATGATGACCTTATTGACACTGTGACGCCACCATGTGGTCGTCTCCTTCTGGTAACTTTAGCCATGAATCTCACAGGTGATTAATAATGTTCTGTCTATCACAACAGTTTGAACTCTCTGTCATGTGACCTCAGAGAAACATGACATCACAAAGTAAAAAAACCTTGCTTCTCTTGCAGAGTCCAGATGATTATAACCTGATGTGGATATTGACTGATGTTCTCTCCGTGGTGCTGATCACCATCACCTTCACTTTTCACTGGTGAATCTCAAGCACAGCAACAGTTACATCATATGAAAATTATGATTTTTTTTTTCATTATCATAATAACAGTTTTTTTTCCCTCAGGTGGCGAGAGTCGGAACTGTCTCTGAGTTCCAGAAACAAAATCACACCAGACAACAGCACTTATAGAAAAATCAAAACAGGTGAAAACACAGTGAAAGTACTTGTAATTTACTCAAACTAGATGAGGTTTATTATATCTCTCTCTATATGTATGTATATACATACATACATATATATATATAAAACTGTTTGAATGTGATCTTGGCAGAAAGAGATGAGTGACATATGGTCGGTGTCCGGCTCAAACCTTGGATCAGAGAAGACGGTGTCATCGTCACAGAGCTTTGACGCTGCAGTTGTTTGAGGAGAAGCTGATTCACTGGAGGAAGTACTTTGGTTTGTTACAAACAATAAAAATGTACCTTTACCTTATAAAAAGAAGATATAAGAATGATAGCTTTTTAACCTTAGAAATTCTATTTTATCATTAAATAGATTCTTAATCTAATGTATAAAAACAGGAATAAAAGTATTATTTTTTGCAAGTAGTGTGCAGAACAATAATTTCTACCCTCCATGTTCAGTCTGAAATATGACCAAAAAAGCAGAAGGACAAACAACAGCAGGTAGAGGTCTGTGTTTCACACACAGTTTTTATTTGGGACTAATCCAAATGATGGAATTATTAATATGGAAAAAAACAATGTGAAAATTGTAGCATAAAAATTTGCTTCATAGTGTTGGTGGATTTTAGTTATTATTGTGAATCTATGCAGTGGCCTGTAGAAGGTCAGAAAGTTATTTAAAAAAAGAAACTTCAGTTTGACTGTTGTCACTCAACTTGTCAATTGTAGACTTACTGACGGACCTGGGCTCAGTGACACAAGCCAGGCCCCCGACCTGAAGTTTGAGCCTCCACAAACACATGCTGGGTATAGAGGTGATATGTCAGGAGGGGTTTGTTCAGGGGTGAGTGACTGTTGTCCGATCTCTCCTCCTACTTGATGTTTCCTCTGGGGGTTCTCTGTTTGGTCATGGTGGTCAACATCTGGCTGATGTATGACGTGAGCAGGTCGTCCATTTTGTAGCCCTGGGGGTTTAAAGAGGGGGTGAGTAAGGGTGGGATATCTCGGGGTGCGGGGGTTAATTCCAGCCCAGTGTAATTCAGCGACTCACCAGTGAGGTCTCACACAGCAGTTTGCTGCCGCGGACCAGGTTCCCGATGGTGATGTGGAAATAAGTGTGACCGCTGCTCCAGTTGGAGATTTTAGTGAAAGGATGAGTGATGAGGATGTCCTGCAGGGGGCGGTGTTACAAACAGCATCGTCTTAAACAACAATATTCCTGACTTATCTGCTTAAATGTGTCGACTGTGGACTCACCTTAGACTTGGGGTCAATCAGACTGACCCCGTGTTTGTTGATGGCTATCAGCAGAGTTTCTGGAAAGTTGGGATCAGTTGTTTGCTGAAAAAGGGACAATTATTCTCCACATATTTTAAAAAAAAGGAAACCCTTCGATGAACTGATTTCTCTCTTTTATGTCCTCTACCTTGACTTCAAAGAAGGCAGAACCAAATGTTGGCCATTTGTAGATGATTTTGAGGAAAGAGAGTTTGGAATCTTCCGGACTTTTCCCTGAGTGTTTGTTGAAGTGTGTCAGGATGGACTGAAAGAGAAAACACAAAAAGACTGAAATGTAAAAATGTTCAATTTTGTTTATACTTCTGTTTTTAGTTCCAACTCTGAAAACATTGGTTTCTCGTGTCATCTCACCCTCTTCCAGTCTTCTGGGGACAGGTTTCTGCTCTGGTCCTGGGGGACGAGGTCCTTCAGGATCTTGGAGACCATGTTAAAATGAGATTTGTCCTCATCAAACTTCACCCTGTAGATCAGAGCTGCCAACTGGGAAGCTTCCTCCCGGGAACACTTGTGGTAGCCTCGCAGATACTTAGGCAGCTCCTGGTGTTGAAGTAGTATTGATATTGAAAAGTATTCATCTGTGATGAAGTCAAAACTGTCTGGATCAGGCCCAGACATTACTGTACTTTCCGGACTATAAGAGTAGCAGTACACAAGCCTACAGTGCCCTCTAGTGACTGTCAGTGTGAAAATAACAGTGTGAAATTATATATTTCAATATATAAGTCTGAGTAAAAGTCGCAAACCCAGCCAGAGGATGAAAAGAAGTGTGACTTATAGTCCAGAAAATATGGTAGTCAGGACAAAAGACTTTGACGATTTCATGTGACAGAAAATGCAACAACAAATGGCTACCAGGTCACAACGTATTAGAGGTCAACTCAGACATAGCAGAAATTAGGGGTTAAAGTTCATTCAGATGTTTTCAAGCCTTCTGATCTGAAACGTCCCTGAGGTCCAGACTCACCTGGTAATAGTGGAAGATGGAGTCGGCCATGGCGTCTTTTCCTGGTACAGTGTTGGTCCACAGCTTCTTCATAAAGAAAACCTGATAGGTGAGAGAAGGCACTGCACCTACACACAGAGACCAGTAGGTGATGTCACAGCTGCCACGAACCAATCGGGAGAGACTTACAATTCAAAAGTAAAAGGTACCAGTACTTTTACATCCACGGTCCCCAATAAAGTTGTTTCTACAATTTTACTGTTTGTCTGACAACAACATAAGACATGAGAGTCTCCTGCTGCCGAAGCCACCAAGGTCAACTCAAGGTCAAACCAAAAGCCGTGCATTTTCCCTCGGGAGCCTTGGAAATGCGGTGTACCCACTTTAAGGACACATTAATCTCTTTACCGTCTTTTCCGAGTCTGGCTTTTTTGATCCAGTCGGTCAGGTGCCTCACAAAATCGAAGAAGAAGTCGCCGTCGGGGACGCTGATGACCTGCACATCAGTCACAAACCAAGAGAGTGGAAGAGGATTTTAAGAACACGGGGTTAGGTTGTTAAAAACAGAGATTGTTTTCTTCACCTTGTCAGTGATCTTGACAAACAGACTGAAGCCTTCGGAGGATTTGAGCAGCAGACGTCCAGAGATGCTGTGGCAGAAGTCTTTGGCTTTGGTGCTGGACTCCACCTCAAACACCTGAAGAGGACACCGGACAGAGACAGAGACAGAGACAGAGACAGGCAGCTGCTTAAAGAAGGTGAGAAATGAAACAATCATTTACTGGAAACGTATTCTTCTTAACGACTTCTCATCATTTGTTGCTCCTAAAAATACAATCAAGTTGGTGTCAGTTCCTTGGGTATTGGTTTCACTTTTAATTAATTTTCTATTTGTCATAGTTTCTGTAGTGTGTTTCATCTTGAACATGTGCAACTGTTGACTCCTCGTCTCTCCTCAGGCCTCGTTTCTATCTTCTGGTAAAACCAGTATAAAATCAAACGCTGGCAGAGAAATGAGTCACTATCCAAACGAGAAGTTTACAGAGATGGAACCAGGATGTGACGTGAGTCACTGCTGACCTCATCTGAGTCGTCTGGGAAGTAGACCTTGTGGAAGATCTGAGTGGTCTTGTGCTGGATGGCCTCCACCTCCACCAGGTGAGGAGGATACTTCCTGGAACCGTTTCTGTCACAGAGAGAGAGTAACTATTGGTTACACTGTGTAGTGATTAGCACTTGTGCCTTATACAAAAACGGTCGTGGGTTTGAGCCCCAGTAGAACCACAAGTTTCTGTATAATGTTGCTTTTTTCTTTCTTCTTCACTGAGCTGTGAGAGTGTGAGGCTGTTTTACCGTAAGGCCTTCTGCAGCCTCTGCATACAGTCTGCTGCCAGTGGATAATGTTTCTTCGCCTGCAGGAACTTCTGCACGTGAGGCAGCAGGACGTTACTGGGAGGAAACAAACCAGTACAGAGCCACAGCAGCTCCCAGCCCTTCTCCTCACTGTATCTACACACACACACACACACACACACATATACAAAGAGAAATGTCTTAAACGTATTATAACACATCAGCACTCAAGCAGACTGGAGCGTACGTCTGAATACCACTCAGCACATCAGCACTCAGGCAGACTGGAGCGTACGTCTGAATACCAGCTCTAACTAGTGTGTGTGTGTGTGTGTGTGTCCGACTCACTTCACTTGATTATCAGTCAGCTGTTTTAGAATCTGACAGAAGATCTCGTCTTTGAGCGGCTCGGCCTTCAGGGCACCTTCAAAGATCTGGTCTGTGAGCTCGTGGATTGAACGCACTCGCTTGGACGGGTAGTCGCCCATGTACTTCATCACAGGTGCAGCAGCTGTTAAGGACAACGGTTGTTGGATTCAAACACACGCAGCAGCACTGCGTGTCACCAAAGTAAAGGATATCTAAGAAGGTCAGACAGGCGTCCTGGGAGAGCTCCTCGTGGGCCAGCACTTTCTTCAGCAGAGGCTGTTTGAGGGGTTCCCTGCTGCAGCTCCACAAACGCTCCTTCCCTCGGGCTTTAGTGATCATCACCATGCTGAAAGTGTTTTTAGGAGGAGACCTATGAAGACACAGGAGTGAGAACAAGGAAGAATATCTACAAAGAACAGCGCTAAGAACCAGGAACGATTCGGACAGATACGTAGGAAACACCTGAAGACAGGAACGATTTGGACAGATACGTAGGAAACACCTGAAGAAGTCGTAGGAGAACTCCTCCAGAGTGTAGGCCCTGGTTTTTTCCTCTTTCGCCAAAAGGTTCAACTGGGACAAAGTGATGGATTCTCTCCTCTGATCAGGAGTCATGGTCACCAGAGCCTGGGATGGAAATGTGATGGAAAGAAAACCCAGCAACATGAGGCGACAGAGCAGCGTCACTGGTCACTCACCGACGACAGTCACTCACCACGATGTCGTACTGTGGTCGGGTGATGGTCGGCAGGATGTAGACGCAGTCCGAGGAAAAATCTCCTCTCAGCTTAGTCCTGTCGTTGACCCCGTGACCCCAGCCAGAGTTCATCATGCGTTCGCCTGTGTGTTCGTCCAGGACGATCAGATCGCCTTTGGAAAAGCTTAAGAATGTGGAGTCGACCCCCGCTGAGATGCAAAGAACAAATGTATCAAAAACAAATTCTCAAGACATAATCCCAGTAAGACTCTGGTTTAGACTGAGACTAGGATTAACACCTTTCTCTCTACACATTGTCTTAGACTCTCTTCTCTCTCTGTTCATACCAGGACCGGGGCTAGGACAGTCCATCAGTCCCACTACATATTTGGACCTTTTCCTCAGACCCTCTAGAAAGGCCACCACCAGATCCCGGATGTCCTCAGAGTTGTTGGAGGTAAACGTGTACTCGTCACCCTTAACTGTGGCTAAAGTAAAACTCTGGCCCTGGAGTTTTCCTCCTCTGGAAGACAGAAAAGAAATGAGTCAAAGTAAGTAACAGTGACGAGGTCACTGTAGGGTTAGCACAACAAGGCATTCATTCCATTTGACCTGACAGTTTAGCATTTCTCTCTTACCTGCTGCTTGACACGGCAGTGATTTCTTGGAAAGAGAGTTCCAGAAGAACCTGCTCCTGTTCGTCCACGAAGTAAACCCCGGTCCAGTTCACTGCTGCGATCACGTCGTTCTTGGGCAGACTGGGTCCTGGTGAAGACAACACAGAGACAAAAATTGTCTCCGAACTTCATGTGTTAATTCACATGAAGTTTTGTTTTTTTTTCTCTCTGTGTTTTGTACCTGAGAATTTGAAGGCCTCGTAGAAGCGTGAGAAAAGTAAAGGCCACTTTAATCGTGCAAAGTCCACCACGTCCTCCTTCACCTTCTCGGGGTTGGACCTCCTCTTCAGGTGAACTCCCTGCACAGTCAGCTGCCGTCACTTACTGAGGTAGGAAAAAGAATCGTCTCGGCTGCTGCAGATGAACTGTACCTTTTTGTGGGCACTGATGATGAGCTGAGCCCACTTCTCCAGCGTCTTCGCCGGGGTGACTTCCCTGTCGGGGATGTAGGAGGGAATCAGGCAGATAAGACGATCGTGGAGAATCTCAGCGCCATAATCCACAAAGTACTGCTGCGAGGCCAGTTCAGCCAGGTCCTCCTCCTGAGGAGAGGTGACACACAGGGCAGGGAGACGGTAAAAACACAGGAAACATCCGGTTTCTTCATGTTTGGAGAGACATTTTCACCAACAGGAATCTTCTCACCTTCTCACAGCGATACTCTCCAAACTTCACCCCTCGCACGATCTGCTGGTAGATGAGGTTTGTGGCCACACAGTCCTCAGCCGGGTTGTGCCAGGGGGTGAAGATCTCCTTCCTGAAGAACAACCTCCAGGGGGCGTTCCTCTCCTGGGCACCCTGCTCTTTGGCATACTGCTCACATTGAGACACAGCATCCATGACGTGGTCGCTACCACTGCCCAACGACGACACCTGACACACACATCACAGAAGATGATTAGATAGACAGACAAAAACTAGGGAAGCCGACCAATATTAGCATAACTACGTAATATCTGCAAGAATCGTTATTGGTTTTCCTGCGATAATGAAAACTTGATAACGCAATGCATGGGTTTTGCCAAATGCTGCGTGACCTAAAAATAATTTTGGGGAAAAACAGCAGTAAACGAAAGTGACGGTAAACTAAGTCACTAGATGGCAGCATTGCAGTCGGAAGGAAGACAATGGATGGATGGATGTTTGTGTTGAGGGAAACCACCTTGTCAAACAGGGCGATGTACAATGAGAAGCCGAATCGATCTCTCAGGTTGATCTTGTCGGCCAGAGCGTGACAGAGTTCACCGGCAGTGGTAGCCGAGTCGGCCAGGAGAGTCTTTGTCGTGCCATCCATGAACGTGACCGGCAACATTATGGGCTTTTTGGATTTGGTGGCCTGAGGACAAAAAAAGACAAAGGATAAACACCTTAAAAATATCTGGACAATTCAAAGAATTCAAAGACAACAGCTATGAATCACCACACGTCTGGTACCTGAAGCTCCAACCATGACGGCGGCTGAGTCCGTGTTCGATTCACAAAAGTCCTCCTCAACCTTTCCTCACAGTACGGTGCGTAACCAGGAGGACCACTGACCAAGAAAGTCCTTAAATACTGACAGAAAATCTCATGTTAGTTAGCAGACGCTGAGGACAGAGTTGAAGTCAGCAGCAAAGAATTCTTTATGTTTTTCCAACAGAAAAGTTTCTGAACCATTAACCAACACCACTTGTACCTGCGTCCGTCTCTGATGGCTCAGTGCTAACTGATGATCAGGTGGTGAAGTAAGTAACCTGTAATAAGCTGAGATATCGTCTTACTTTGACAAACTTTTCAGACGGAGCGAAGCAGCCGACGCAGAGAGACAGCAGGATCCATCCTCGAGCGTGGCTGCTCTTGGACGGATTCTGAGAGAGCTGTTTACAGATCTGACAGTAGATCTCATCTCTGAGGCACATGCAATAAAATCAAAACAAAAACTCCTGTTTAGTGGCAACAGGTAAATCAGGAACCTAAGGAGATTAAAACACCCGAAAAAACATAAAGTCAGACGATTAAATCCAAACTGGTTTTGATTCAAACATGGAACTCTTGTCCCTCTGACAAGTGAAGAAACTGGTTTCGATTCAAACATGGAACTCTTGTCCCTCTCCAGGTTCGGCTCGGTGTTCACCTGAGCGCAGGCCGTAAGATACCGTTGCCGATGATGAAGTGAAGTTTCTCCAGGTTGGACGTGGGTCGATCCTCCAACATGCTGTTCCCCTGCAGGCCGTAGTCGGCTTCTGTCAACCTGCGGGTGACCTTGAACAGACATGGGACAAAAAAAAACCAGATTTCCTTTTTCTTGTCACGTTGCAGAAAAGAAAATGGAAAACAGAAAAGTGGGAGAGGAGGAAACTCTCACCTCTTCTGTGATTTTTGATTTTCTCTTCAGGGTGAGCGACACTAGTTTGTGTCTGACGCTGTTCCTCTTCTGGCTGTCTTCAGAGCTGGTCTGTTCACAGGAACAATTTCGTACTGAAGCTCCACACGGAGAATAATTCAGTTGTCATTACGCTCTGTTAGAATCTCCTCCCACCGCCTCACCTCCTCCTCCACCTGCAGCTCCTGCAGCTCCCTCTTGTACGTCCTCTTGCCGAGCGTCTCGTAAATCTTGGTCATGACGGGGATTTTCTCGCTGCCGTCATGGATCACTATCTGACACTTGGGCTCGGGGAGGTCGCCCATGAACCTCAGCACGGTGATCCACACGGCCAGTGCAGCCTGGGGGGTGACAGAAGGGGGAGAGGGGGCAATAATCAGGAATCACGGGTGACAGAAGGAGGAGAGGGGGCAATAATCAGGAATCACCGCTGTTGTATTCTGTCATCTAAGGCACAGATGTGAAAATGTAGCTGCAGCTTCAGCTCAGTTTTACCAGCTGATCTCCTTCATCCTCATGGAAGAGCAGAGGTTGTTTCAGAGGTCGTCTGATGTACGTGTGAGTGGAAACGCCCTGGAAGTAAGTGGCAGCAAATTTGGAAAACTTGTACTCGGACAAGTCTTCCTCCTCCTCGTCAGGCAGCGGCAGAGCTTCATTAACCACGTCCTCCTGGTCTTCTCTTTCAAAGGACGTCTTCTCCAGGTCCTGGGTGACAGGAGGAAACATCAAACATCATCAAAGGTTAGTTACCTTCAACGGAGAGGTTTTTAATGATTCTGAATGGGAAACCACACCTCAAATCCAGCTGGTGCTTGTCCGTCCTGGTTGGGTAACGGCCCAGAGTTCCCCAGGAATCCAAACATGAGGTCCACCATGTCGGAGTGATCGACCGGCTGCTCCTTCTCCCTCTCCATCTGCTCCAGCAGCTCCTTCTTCTTCCTGGCCTCCTCCTTCTCCTCCTTCTCCCTCTCCTCTTGCTGCTGGGCCAGCTGGACGAGCCGCTCCTGGTGATTCTTCTCGGCCTCTGCCTTAGCCCGCCGGGCCGTCATCTGGTTCCGCAGCTGCTCCTCCTCGGCCAGACGCTGGCGCTCGGCTTCCATGCGGCGCTGCAGCTGTAAGTGGAGGAAACACTTTTTTTTTTTGGGTTCTGATCTTACAGCAGTATAAGACATTAATACAGGAACTGAGGGCATGCAGAAAAACACATCCACCCTCTCAACATCAGCGTTCCTCACCATGTTGTAAACAGATGCAGCAGCAGTAAATATCACAGCAGTTTACCTCCACTCTGAGCCTCTGGCACAGGCGTCTGGCTATCATGCCTCTGGTGTAGGCCTGAATGGTCAACACAGCCCGCAGGTGCTGCCAAAATGTCAGACGGATGAGGAAACCCCGGCAGCGAGCTTGGATGAGGGTGATTTGTCGACGAGTCCTCTGATAGTTCCTGTAGTATTTCCTGGACCTGTAGACGGCCTGGAGGCGCAGGAAACCAGACTGCATCTGTGCAACAAGGACAACCAGAGATTAGGAGAAAAATGTTTTAAAAACTTACAAAATGTGCAAAAGTTTAAAGAATTTACAAGGAGAAAATTCTTTCTGCAGTGATATCCTCTCCAGAACTTCTGAATGGAAACAACAGCGCTCTTCAGTCTGAGGAAGTTGTTTCTGTAAGAAAAAAAAAAACACATATGTTACTGGGTTATAACAGTTTCATTCGTAATGACAAGAAAAAAAGCTTTTTTAAAAAAGATTTTTCTGCCGTTCACGTTCAGAATAAATCACTGACCGCGCTCTCAGTCGTCGCACGGACTTCTGGATCAGAATCACTTTGTCTGTGATGGCTTTGTCTCTCTCCACCTCCAGCTGCATGTCGTGATGATCCTAAACTCAGGAGAAAACAACAACAACTGTTAGCCGCAGTGGGTGAAGGACAGAACACAGTTGCACAGGATATTATTTATATTTTGAATGTAGAACCTTCAAGAAGATCTTGGTCTTTCCGATTTGCCAGTCGCCATGTTTTCCAAGGCGGACCAGAACGATCTGCTGACTGGTCCCTCGTAGATCCTCCTGCCAAAACCAAGGCAAAGACTCTGCGTTAGGTTTGGGGTGAAATCTGCATCGTCAGCAAATACAACTTTACTTAGTGATTTTTAATCATTTCTTTTTGTTGACCTGTAGGTGAGCAGGTTTGACCCCCGGCATCAGGACTCTATAACGGTCCACAAACTCAGCAAATGTGTATCTGATGGGATAACCAGCCCGGCGGATGCGGATGGTCTCCATCATGCCGGAGTAACGCAGCTGACGGATACAGAGCTCTCGGTCGAACAACTGAAAAATGGAAAATTGGTAGCCATCAGTACCATCGTAGGAGAAACGTGGAGATATCGTTGGTTGTGGCTCTGAAACGGTTGTCCAATGAGAGACGGGTTGAAGGACAGCTGTAGTCCAAAGATAACCAGAGAGAAAATTCTAAAAATTTAGGACCACAATGAACCCAAACAAATGTACGCTTTCGGTAACTGGACGGTGCATATTGACGTACGTTGTAACCTCGTAACATATATACTGTATGTATAGAGATCACAAAACAGGAGTGTCCAGACTTTTTTGGCTTAAGAAACTATTTGACTGGGTTAATATTTAATATATATTTAGTCATATTTGTACATGTTGAGGTGCTGATTAAACACATATTCACCACTATACACCACAGAGTTATATTTTTATTTTATTGGCTCATGATCTACCAGTAGATGGAGATCTAGTTGTTGGGCAGCCCTGGTGTCAGAGACAGAACTTGACCAGACTTTTTTCAGGACACTGAATGATTGCTACCAAAATAAGACACATGGACACCAGAGTTCTTATTGAAGGATGACTGGAGCTGTTACACAGATAATCAGAAAGTTTACATGTGTGTGTGTTTGTCAGGTCTCTCTCTCACACACACTCTCTCTCTTCCCTCCTGTCTGTGTTTCAGTGGTTAATTAGTCTCATCACACTCACCTGTGTCCTGTGGCTCCCTGTTCATTAGTCTCACTCGTCTCACCTGCTGCCCCGGGTATATAAACCTCTCTCTCCCTCACTTTGTGTTTGGTGTGTGCATGTGTGGTTGTTGTTGCTGCTGCTGTTGTTGATTTATTTTTTTTGTTGTTGTTTCTGCTTGTGAATTCTTGCTCTGTTCCATTGTTCCTCTGTTGTCCTCACGTTTCCCATTATTTATGTTGGACATTCGGGTCCACAAACCCTGACAGTATTTAATTTAATTTTTTCAATGTGAAGGTCTCTCTGTTTGGACATGTCCACAACCTGCTTAATTCCAGAACAATTAATAGATGAAAACACACACAGACACTGAACTCACCATTGGTTTTTTGAACTCGTTGGGTTTTACACAGCGCACAAAGAACGGCTGACACACACTCAGTGTCCTCATCAGCATCTCCAGGGAACGTTTGAACTGACTGCTCAGAGTCGGGGAGCGTTTCCTGGTCTCTGCACCCTAACACACACACACACAAACTTACAACAGTTATGTTTCTGTGGTCGTTTCTTTTTCCTTTGACCCTTTAAATGTCTGGACACACCAACAAGTGAAATATTTATTTTATGATTCACAACTACTGAATTTGTCAACAGTTTCTCAATAATGGCAGCAGGTGACAAAAGTGTTTCCACTTTAAACACCGTCACCGCAGTGATGTTTTACTGGTGTTCACATTTCCACTGAGAATGAAGACGTGTCGGCGAGTTCGCGATCAAACATCTGATTTGTCAGGATGATTTTCTGCTGCTTCCTGTGTTATTTATGTGGCTGTTTATTTATTTTTTGGACATACAGTAGTGAAGGTAACAACACAAATACCACATGAGGCTAAAGTTTGTCAATTACCTTTGGAGGAGGAGTGCAGGGCTGCTGATAGCCACACAGAAACTGACGTGAGAGGAAAACATCAGAGGAAATGTAAAAGATACAGCAGAGAGAGTGAAGGACAGTCAGTGTCTGGAGGATATTTTCAGTAAACGCCTGAGAATCATCTAGAAAGGGCAGCAGCTTCAAAGAGTTAGTGAGGGGGAAAAAAGTTTTCATGAGAGAAAAGCGATTTTTCCCTCACCATGGCCACATCAGCCTGGAAGATCTGCTTGATGAACTTGTTCTTGGAGGAGTGGACGAGATGGATGATGTCAGTGTGGAGGCTGTCTCGGTTTTTCTCCAGGAATCCTGGGAAAAAAGACAGCAAGAGAAGAACAAAAAATAAAAACTAGAGATGTCCGATAATATCGGCTGACCATATGAATCGTTATCCGTAATAATTGTTATTGGTTTTCCTTCGTTAAAGAAAACCCTCTAACACAATGCCTGGGTTTTGCCAAATGATGTGACCTAAAAATAGTTTTGAGGAAAAAAAAGTGAAAGCCACTAGATGGCAGCATTGCAGCTCAGACTCAGAAGTGGTTTGTACAGATCAACAACAACTGAACTTCCTTAACCACCAGGCCACCACTGCCCCGCTACATCGGTTGATATCGGAATCGGAAATTAAGTGTTTGGATAATATTGGCAAATTGGAAATCAGCAAAATGTTAATATCGTACATCCCTAATAAAATCTAAATTGGAAATCAGCAAAAAGTTAATATCGTACATCCCTAATAAAATCCTCACCCCTGGACTCGTAATGCACCACACCAGCAAAGTGTTGGATCCCAAACTGGGTTTCGTAGCTGTTTTTAGGAGGGATGTAGTTGCAGTTGAGCCTGTGTTGTGTGTTGAGCTTGTAGAGCATCGTAGCATCGGTTCCCTACCCAAAATAAATAAATAAAAAGAATTGGTCAGACTCATAAAAAACCCTCAAAGAATATTAGACATTTCTTTAATACCTTGGGGAACTTGCTCTCTTCGTCGATGAGGGATATGATGTTCATGGGTTTGTTGGCGATCATGTCCAGCGCCTCCTGGTTGTCCGTGAACTCGATGTGCTGCCAGCAGATGTCCTCCAGGTTGTACTCCTCCTGCTCCAGCTTGAAGACGTGCTGAACGAAGAACTGCTGCAGGTTCTCGTTGGCAAAGTTGATGCACAGCTGTTCGAAGCTACAAAACAGAAAAAGAAAAAATGTGTTAGCAGAGCAGTAGCAGAGACCACTGACACTGACACGGTTCCTGAACACACCACGGAATTACCTGTTAACACTGAAGTTCTCAAATCCAAAGATGTCCAGCAGACCGATGGATCTAGACGCGATGGTTCTGTCACAGGACGGTGGCCTGTATATGGCTGCGTTGATTTTATCCACGATCCAGACGAAGAGTCGGCCGTAGATTCCCTGCACAGAAGATGAAGTCAAACAGAAACTGATTTCTATGAACCAGGATTTATTTATTTTCTTTGTCGCTCAGACACCAGTACCTTAACGAAGGCGTCCCTGACGTCCAGACCTTGCTCCACCCGGAGAGGAGTGGTGACGCTTTCACCTCGAGTGATCAGCGTCCTTGTGGTCAAACACAGCATCACGTCCTTGGGCTCCACCTGCAATAACAGTGACATTTAGAGAAACAAGACAGAAACGACACACATCTCTGTGCACACACACACACACCTCCATGAGTGAAGCAGCAGTCATCAGGTCAGGTGACCTCACCACCACACAGGCGTCCAGGTTGTCGTATGTACGAGCTGAAGGACACAAGCAGAAGTTGTTGTTCCTTCAAAACATGACTTTTCAGCACAAGGTTTTTTTTGTCTGGGGTTCAAACCACAGAAAAGGTCAGGGTGACTTACCCACCACAACTGGCTTAGTATTAGCCAAAAAAAGCTAAAAGTTAACGAAAAAGAACTGAAACTGCTTAAGGTGATCAAAAGTACAGAACAAACAAATGACTCCAAAGTTATTCAAAATGGCCCAGAAACGATGATTCAATAATCAAAGAAACCAAATTCTCTTCTGTTTCTTTTCCCTTTCACAGGGACTGAGTTATAAACAGTGACTTTTGGTGTAAAATACCTTCAAATCTCATGTTTCCCATGTGCAGGATGGCAGCCAGCAGTTTGGAAATCTCTAAGTTTTCCTTCTCGGTGAACATGAGAACCTTCATGGCCGACAGGATGCTGGAGTAGTCGGTCAGATCATCACGACCGTCACACTCTGTACAGTCACCCTGGAGGGTTAAAAACAACAGAAGATGCTTATGGCAAAAACCTGACTTGTAGATGCAAGACTGATCCCTGATTGGTGCAAATACATTTATTTTGATGAACTAAATTGTGATATTTTTTGTGATTATCAATATTTCCCCTGAACATTCTGTGGTGCAGTCCTACCATGGTGAGGTAACAGTAGTCTGTGGCCAGGCCCAGCCCCAGCTTGGCCTTCATTTCTGGAGACATGCCCTTCAACATGCAGTAGAAAATATGGTAGTTTCTCTCATCGGGAGCCTGTGGTTTCAGATGAACATTAGTTTGTGTTTACTTTATCACCGACACAGGCTGACGTGGTGTCTGACCTGTCGACACACTCGAGACTTCTCCAGCAGGTACTGCTCTATCTTGGCCCCTTCGATGGCGCCTCTCTTGTTGAAGTGGATGTCGATGTACTTCCCAAAGCGACTGGAGTTGTCGTTGCGAATCGTCTTGGCGTTGCCAAAAGCTAAACAGAAAATAGAAAAAACTCATCAGTGTTGTTTTAATTGTAAATACCATTAAATTTGTCTTCTGTGTCAAAACAAACTCAAATTGCTAACTTTTACCTAAGACAGCAAATGCATCGCTGGCTTTTCTTCTTTTTCTGATTCGTTACATTAGCTCTGGACAGATAGCCTTAACTTCAACACCATAGAACGACCTGTTTAAGGTTCTAAGTCACATCAACCTTCACTCCATCAAACATCCACAGCTGCCTGACCTTCCAGGATCGGTGTGGCCTCCAGGACCTGCTGCTCTATCCAGGAGTGTTGGCCACTGATGGCGGCCAGAAACTGCAGAATCAGCTTGGTGCTCTCTGTCTTTCCAGCCCCGGACTCTCCGCTGTCTCACACACACATGTACACAGACCACTGTTACACACCAACCTGTTACAGGGACACACTGACTCACTGCTGACACCACACACACCTAATGATGCAGCACTGGTCCTTGTTGTTGCGCTGCATGTTGAAGTAGCAGTTGTCGGCGATGGCGAATATGTGAGGTGGCATCTCCCCGATCTTCCTGTTGGTGTAGAGGCGAATTTGGTCAGCGGTATAAATCGGCAGCAGCTGGTACGGGTTCACTGCAACCAGGATGGAACCTGTGTATGTCTGTGGAACCAAAAAGACGGAGAAACTTTGACGTTTGGAACCGAGACGAGAGAAAAGCTGAAGAGTTAAAAAAAGAATTGAGAAGTTTCTTATAATCGCAGTAAAATAGATATTTTACTCATTCCTGTTCAACAACACTGACGTAAATGACATGCTCTTTGTAGCGGATGAACAGGTTGCGGAGAATTCCGGCCTCGTTGAGGTCGCCTAGACGGATCATGTCCTCCACGCCATGAATGGAGGTCGGGTGCATGGGTTTGATGTTGGTGGCGCTCTGAGGAAATATCCAGTGTTCCTGGAATTAAATGTTAGAAAATACAGCTGAGATGAAAGTCACTAGTTATTATAACAATAATAAAACCCACATTCACTACTGCAAGTTATTGCAGTACTGCATTGACTTACATGGCCTTCATCATCCAGGACCTGGGTCTGTCCGGAGTCACACCGTTTGACCACCGCGCCCACTGGAACGTCAAACTCTCGACCAGTTTTCAGGTCCAGCCACACATAATCTCCCTGGATTGAAGTAGATTACTGACACATTAATATAAATATAACAATGAACACAGATTTATCATCTAAAACTCTCCTCCAGACAGACCTAACGTCATTAAGGACGTGTGCAGTGCTCACTGCTGCCCCCTGTGTGAACTCATATTCCCGTTTGTATAAAAGACTTGCCGCACACCCACGCACCAACCAAACCAATTATTTTTAGCATCTAAATCTTTGAATGGAAGGTTTTTATTTTTGAGACCGGTTAAACAATGACCTGGGTGAAGCCACACAGGAGATGATGTAACTTTTGTTTGGTCAGGTTTATTCTTGGTGATTAAATCCTGATCTGATTTGGGTGGAACAAAGCCAGGAATCTCAGTGTTTCCTTTCTCAAACTGCCACCTGCAGACGCTCTAAGTCTGCAGGTTATTGAGATGGAGAACAACAAAAACCCGCAGCACCACTGAGCTCAGACCTCGCCTCCACAGTCTAGACCCTGACCTTAAGGCTGCTATTTTTATTCCCCTCCCTGTGAATGAGATTCTCAGCCTGCAGCGTCTGAGTCGCGCCCTGCAGGACTGAGTCCAGAGCCCAGGCAACAGAATCGAATTTGTAATGAATAACATTCAAGGCCTGGACATGAAGTAAATCTGAGCTGAGAGACCAAAAGGAGAGGAGACGAGCTGCCGTCTGTCTGCTGTCTTCACAAAAAAACTGAAACAGAGACGAGGATAAGATTTTTTTTTCTAGTGAAAAATTAAACTTTCTGTATGAAAGGAGACAAAGTCCAAGGATGTTCTACCACGAAATCTTCTGCTCTTCACTTCTGTTAAAAATTCAAAATGAGCGTGACAGATAATGTGACTTTTTTTTTCATGTTATGATGACACACCTGCTGCAGAATGACCATGGTTCAGCTGTGAGTTGATTCCAGGTCATCAGATGTCAGAAGTGAGGCCTCTGCAAAGTCAAAGTCAGAGTTAAATACTGAATATTAATAAAAGTACATTGATAGTAGCAGAAAAACAATGAAGACTGTGTTCCTTCTACGTCATGGCTCTGTTCACACAGTGGAGTCGTAGCAGACACACACACAGCCATGTGCTTCAGATGGTAGGAGGCTTACTCGGATTCCTGGGGCTAATCCTGTTACTTTAGTACGGAAGCATATTTGTCGACTGCTGAATCATTTTCTCCCCCACCGAGTCTTTTCTGCCGTAACCTTAGATACAGTCCTGTAGCTCGGGGTTCTGTTCTACTGACGCAAACGGTGCAATATAAATCTTATCATCAATATTGTCAACATCAACATGGGGATAAAAATGTTCACTTTGATGTAGAAAACAAAGGAAACTCTGACCATTTTCTCGACTTTTAAAAACAACAAATTATATAAAAACAAATTATTTTGTACGTACACTATGCGATAATTTGTCTCTGAGTTTATTTTGCAGGATAAACAAATACTGTATATGACTAACAGAAGAAGTTAAGTACTAACACAAGAATGTGTTTTCTGCTGGGACACTGCCCTCTACTGACATTTTCTCTTCTTACCTCTTCCTTTCCAAATACTCTGAGTAGCAATGTTTCTCTTAAAAGAAGGTATTTCATAGGTAGATTTACTACAGTAATGTACAAATACTCAATAGTGTCCTTCTAGTATTTAGTATGACAGGAAGTTCATATCTGCTAGCTCAGACGTGTTTGTAACAAAAAAGAAATTTTTGTGAGCATTCACAGTTTGCTAGAGCATAATTTTTTTAATTATTTTTTTTGTTAAAGTTCAAGAATTAGAACTTGTTTCTACCCTGAATTTCTGGTATATTCTGCCACAAAAAGCAGGACCAGTTGAGAAACGTTGACCAATTACACTCCATATAAACATATCTGGGTCATTTCCTCTACAGCCGAAGGCCCTATGATGTTGGTATGACACAAGGTACACAAAAGGTAAAGGTCAAAGTTCATTGTTTCAACTCATTGTTTGGCCCTCCCCCCTGCTCCCACCCCCTGGCAACGTGTGCAGAGATTTTCACTTAAAGGCCTGCAGCAAGACCACTAACACTTAACAGATAATCTGTGTGTGTGTGTGTGTGTGTG